GACTAGATTGCTTTTAAAAAATCATCTTAGCCCAGTTTTTCTTTTAAAAAAGGAAAATAAAAAATGCTTAGAACGTGCTGAGTAAACTTAAAGGAGGCCATTATAACGTTTGTTTCTCAGTCGTGCAGTGTTTCTTTGCCATTGTGGGCCGATGTTCAGTCCCTGTCTGATATGGTTGTAACTTGAGCCCGAAGCGGGGGTTATCGAAAGAATTAACAGAAGGTTTGATACAAAGCCCACTTCAGCTGTCAGTTCACCATTTATACTGATTTAATTTCCTGTTTAATTAGGATAGTTTAATCTGACTTTTCTCCCATGCTGGGGATTCAGAGCAGGTTTTCCAAAATGAAAGACACCTACAATTTACAAAACCGTGTATGACCCAACAGCGCCCCCTGCCCCCCCCCACAGGTACAGTCTTTAAGCAGGTAGTAAGTTGCAAGGAGCTGCGGTGGCTCAAGTGGTTAAGACGCTGAACTGCAGGCTGTGGAAGGTCGGTCGTTCAGCAGTTCGAGACCTGAGTGTGCCGCATGATGGAGTGAGCTCCCGTCTCTGGTTCCAGCTCCTGCCAACCGAGCAGTTTGAAAGCAAGAAATTGCAAGTATATAAACAGGTACCGCTTCGGTGGGAAGGTAACAGCGTTCTGTGCGCCTCTGTGTTTAGTCACATGACCATGGAAACGTCTTCGGACAGCGCTGGCTCTTCAGCTTTGAAACGGAGATGAGCACCGCAACCCTAGAGTCGGACTCGACTGCCTTTCGAGCAAGGGAACCTTTACCTTTAATCTGCATTCAGACCGCTTCCAGCACACTGTTGCCCCGTAGCTACCAAAACTCCTTTTGCTGCGATTCTTTACCTTTACCTTTTAAGTTGCAAGGACATCCCAAGCTGGTGATGGCTCCTTCTAAGGGCTGAGGGCGCCTCACTTCCTGCCTTTCCATTGGAAGCTCTGATGAGGTCGGCAGCTGTTGTCCCTGCTGTCGATCAGCTGGCCGGTGTAGGGACTTACTGGCAGGGTAGGAAGGCCCAGGCCAATGTCGCCAGCGACACAGTGATGTCACTTCCAGCCTGTACCAGAAGTGACATCATCACGTAGCACACGCCAGAACTGATGTCACCAGCAACGTGGCCTGGGCTTCTTCCTTGCTCCTGGAAGATCCCGCTCCCCAGTCCCCCACTGTTTGCCAGTGCTCTGGCAACCCCATCTCTGGCTGTGCTTGGAGGGACAGACAGGGCCGGCCCCAGCTTATTTTGCACCCTAGGCAAGGATCCCTTCTGGTGCCCCCCCCATGAGCCCACCATGGCTTGGACCCATTAATTGGATCTGTACCCCAGACCTCCTGTTCCCCTGGACCCATGCTCTTAACACTCACTTTTGCTTTTGTAACTTTGCCTGCTTTGCACATCTGGCTTCCACCAAGGAGGACTCTGCAAAGAAAGGCATTCGCAGTCGCAAACAATCTCTGCTTCTCACTTGCCTTGACAGTTCCTTGCTGGGGTTGCCATAAGTCAGTTGCAACTTGAGTGTCCTTGTGTAATACCCCCCCCCCCCCCTTAGGTTCTTCTTTGCCTCCGCTTAGGGACCC